ATTGTGCCCCGTCAGCGCCACGTCAGCAGCCACGTCAGCGGCCCAGTCAGCAGCCCTGGCCAACCAGGACTTGCCGCGTGGCAAGACCACATCGACCCGGGAACGGGCCACGTGGGCGATCCGCGTGCGCGCGATCGGACGACCCAGATGCACGCGCACGGACGGTCCATATTCAATCAAGTACGAACGGCCCAGATTTAATCAAGATGGACGGTTGTGATTAAAAGGCAAAATGGTATAAATAAGACCCCCACACCTGATCACAAAAACCCTAGCCGCCTGCCCTCGCCGGAGAAGACGAACCAGACGCCGGAGGAGCCGGCCGCCGCCACCCGCCGCCGCACCGGAGAGTTTTTCGACCGTCGATCGAGGTAAATTTCATACCCCCGGCTCGTTTTTCAATGCTGAGTTCCCCTGTGGCCAAATCGGAGCCAAAATTCTGGCCAAACGGCCGAAACCCAGCAGCGCCGCCGCGCCCCTCCTCGATTTTTACCTCCGATGAGGCCCTTTCCGGCCTCCATTTGATACAATTTTTATATCACCGTGATCACCATTCCTTTCTCTACAGGTTGATCGGAGCCAAATCACCAAAACACGAACCTCACCGGAGAGCCGCCGCACCCGAGAGCACCGCCGCCGGTAAGCTTCAGTTTTTCATAATTTTTTTACCCCCCCGAGGGCCCTAGGGTCGTTTTATCGCAGGGACCGATGCGAGTGTGGCTAAATTCGACCGAAAACGGCCAACCCGAGGCGAATCGCCGCCGTGCCAGAATTGCGATATTGGCCGAAAGGGGCCCTGGGTCTAATTTGGGATTTTTTGGGACACGTGCAGGTACCAGTAATGCGTTTCAGTTCCCCGAAAAAAAATCATGGAAAATTAGGGACAGCCTGCAGGCGCTCTGTAGAGCCATATTCGGACCCCGAAACAAGTAAGGACCCCTCACCCTATTTCCTATCACGGTATTAAAGTTCAATAAATGATAAAACGGTATTTCATGAATCAATGGATGTGTGAAATTGTTTAAGGTCGCTAATGAAGCCCGAGTCTGGTGTGTTTGTTGGTCAGCTGTTGTTTGGCCTATTTTACAGTTTTAAATGCAGTATGAGGTATGATGTTTTCATTTCATAGTTTTGTGTGCATATATCACTGTTTTATTGATTATGGGTTGAATGACCGAGAATCCGATGTTGTATGTTGTCTTGTTTGGCATAAATTACTGGTTTGCTTGTTTGTGTGTGATTTGATGATGCTGACTGAGGAAAAAATGGAATAAAAGGTTACGTAAATTGATCATTGTATAATGTGGTCAGCCTGACTAGATATCCTGGAAGATGGTGGACGGACCGGGTCTATAGGGAACCCTACCGAGATTGTGGTCTCTCATACCGGACGGGGTATGGAGACCTTATATGTTTTGGCGCCCATACCGGACGGGGTATGGGGACGGCCCGTTTCACCCTCATACCGGACGAGGTATTGAGGTTTATAGTTTTGGCGCCCATACCGGACGGGGTATGGGGACGGCCCTGAAATCTGATTACAAGTGTTAAGGGTTCACGGGTAGCGGGACCCCTATGGATCCCCATGGATACTAGTAGGCTGGTAAATGAGGAAAAATATGTTGTGTAATGATTGAAATGCAAAAGGCGTGATAAGTATTATGTTATACAGTTAATATGATTTCATGATGATGATAATGTTATTGCTTTCGTATGTTGTTTTATGAACTTCACCGAGATAAGTGAATAGTAAAGGATTTTATTATTGATAAAAGAATTTGTTGTAAATTATGCTCCATTGGTCTTTTTGTGTTTTCTACCCACCTTTACCTCCGTGACGGTGAGATAGTGTGATGTATTTACTGGGCTGGTGTAGCTCATTCTTTATTTAATCATTTTAGATCAGGAAAACATTGTTTCCGAGCCCGTTCCGCAGGAAGACGGCGAAGGGGACGCCTGAAGACTCTGTAGTTATATTTATAGCTTTTATTTTCGAGTTTCTCTTTTAGTTAGTTTGTTCTTTTATACTTTGAGCACGTCTTTGGTTTTAGTGTAAGGGATGTTAATCAAATTTTTATTACGCTTCCGCATTTGACCTCTTTAATACACATATTTCATTTCGAAATTCCGGGGCCGTTACACGGATCGCCCACGTGGCTACCCCCGGCGTGGCCTCCTATGTCAGCGTCACTGCCACTTGTCGCGTTCTGGCTGGTCGAGGCAGCTGACATGGTGTAATTTTTTTAAATTATATTTTAACCCCTATTTTTCAATTTTTCTTTCAAAAATACTATCAGAACTTAAATTTTCACTTATTTTTCTAAATTTTTTTTTAATTAAATCCTCAAATATTTTTTTCATTCTTTTTATTATTATTATTACTATTATTTTTATTTAATCAAATTAAAATAAATTAAATTTAATTAATACATATTTATATTTATATAGAAATAATAAGAATAAAATAAAATAAAAATAAGTGGGTGTTACAAGTAACACTGATCAGATTTATCAACACCCGTTGACGTTTGACTATAATTATATATATATATAAAATAAAAAAATTATATTAATAAGTTAGTTGAAGTTTGAAATGAATAAGATAAGGAGAGTGGCTTATTAATAATTTATCACATGCGGCTTATCATTGCTCTCTTACTTTTCACAAGCAAGCGAGTAAGTGCCGTTCGTTGTACATTGATGGAGATTTAGTAGCTCAAAAACTAAAAGAAAATATATATATATTTTAATTTATACTTCTTATATATATATATATATTAATATCTTTATCAATTATAAAGATACTGAAATAGTTTATCGTTAGTTTCAAACTCATGACATTAGTTTATATATAAATATTTTACAACTGTTTTTGGATTCTCTCTTTTTCATTTAAGGTAAAAATAAGATTACCTTTCATTTGCTCATTCATATTTATACACAAAAGTACTTAAATAATATTTAAAAAAATCATAGCGATTTAAATAATATTTCTTTATCTTTGTATAGATATAAATATAATAATTTTTAAATAAATGTATATTGACAATAATATTATTTATATATGATTTAAAATAAATAACATGACACATATGCATACTGATATTAACGATGTTAATTTTTTCTAACAGTAATAAAGTGATTTGCATATAAGAGGGGGGTTTGAATTAATCTGTACAAAAATTTAAGGGTAGAATCAAGTATTTTAACGGATATATATGTATGTATATGTTTTTGTTTTTTTCTTAAAAAACAAAAAAATAAAAGTCAAAAGTGTTGAAGTTGGAAGTGAAATTGGGATGGCATGAATGTGGCGTCATATATGTGCAGTCGTGGAAGGTGCCACCGACACGACATGTCTGTGTGTCGTACAGCCGACACGACACATCTTTGTAAGTCTTAAAATTGCTTTTGTTTGGGGGTTTTCTTAACGACCGCAAATTTGGTAGAAGACGTATTGGAATGATTTTGTAATAGTAGAAAAAGCATATTTTCAAATTTCCATTCGGCATATTCCATTTAAGGTAGTTAAATTCATGCTGTTTTTTCCTTTTTTATTTTTTAAATTTTAGAATAAATTATTAAATTAATCTATAAAATTTTATAATTAAATTTATAATGTTTTTTTAGTTTTGATTTTTAGACTGCACACACAAAATTGACTTGTGAATCTTATATTTTTATTATTTATTTTTTATGCGTAATTAAACAAGTAACCTATTAACTGTCTCAAATCGAGTTGTTAGTTAATAGATTTTATTTTAAAAATAAAATTTAACTAAAGTAAATATTAAATGATTATTAAAAAATATTAAATCATTTACTTAAATTTAAAATTTATTAAAAAATTTATTTGTCGTTCTTTACAATTTATAACCTCAACAATAACAATTAATTTTTCTATTTTTTAAAAAAATTTAACATAAATAATCTGTTTTAAGAAATTAAATAATTAATATTAACATAAACATAAACTTATTCACATAACATCTTCATAATCAGAGCAATTAACCGAAGATGGGAAGTTCAATCTCTATGCTTTAATTTGATTCCAATTTCTATTTGCCTTTTTCTGTTTGTTACTTTCCTTTTTTGGAACAGAGTTAGGAACTTGCCTTTTTCATATATACCATATTTTTGTTAAGGTGCCAAAGCTCCAAGTAGAGAAAAGGAGAGCATAAATATATATATATATATAATATACACATATAAAGATGTGTGTATACACGTAAAGCAAGGACTTGATAAAGCATCCATTACAAAGCGTACCACATTCTACATCCACTTGAACTTGCCTTTTTTATATATACTATATTTTTGTTGAGGTGCCAAAGCTCAAAGAAGAGCATATAATATTATATGTATATATATATAAAGATGTATGTATATGTGTAAAGCATGAACTTGATAAAACATGCATTACAAACCATACATTCACATTCTACATCCACTTGCACATAAGAGGAGAGAATGTTAACTCAAAAGGAGATAAGAGATGGTGCCTCAAATATCGTATCAGCCATGTGTCCAAATTTAAAACGTAAATTTTTTAGACTTTTAAGATTTTATATAAAACGGGTTAATAAGTAAAAATTAATAAAAATAATTGTAGTTTCTAAGTCAAATTATATATTTTTTTTATATGTGTCAATTTTAAAAATTATTAACTTTTATTTATATTAAAAATTTAACAAATTTTAATTAAAATTAAATTTATATAAATATATTCATGTATTATATATAAGAATACTTGGTATATTTGTTATGTAAATAATGAATGTAGTTAATATAATTGGTTAATTATTTAAATTTTTTAATTTAAATTAAAATTAGATAATAGAATTTAATTTTCTAATTTAGACTAACTATTTTTTTGGGGCTGTGAACATCCTTAATTTTATTTGAAAAAAAAAAAGAAAAGAAAAGAAAAGAATTGATTGTAAGTATCTTTGGAGGATATTCCTTCTACTGGTACAAACGTAAGAAAAATTGAGAAAAACAAGAGAAAGACTTTTGGAGAGAGAACATTTTCTTCAACCTTACATCAATCTCGCCTCAAAGTCGGAAAATCCCAAATTCAATTAAAAAAGTAGAGAAATTGATGGATAAAATCATAAAATAAAACGGAGAGGGACTTTTTTTTTTTTCTCAGTTCTTTCACTCTTTTTCTTCTATATATATGTGGGCATCTCAACCTAGCTTCTGATAACGTGTTCTGCATCTCTCTCCTGATCCAAAGCTTGGATCTTTTTCACTGTTAATTCCTGCTTATCCAGACACAGGTACCTCGTTCTCTGTAAGTTTGTTAACTTATCACCATCTGGGTCTCTTTCTCAACGAATCAATCATTCTTTTTCTATTGCATTGCATTGACAAAGTTCTAATGAAGGGAATTTTTTTTTTTTAATCTTCGTCTTTTTTTCTCTATCCTCGTCTTTTTTTTTTTTTTCTGTCAAATCCGGATTCGATATTTGATTTGATAGACTCAATTTTGGTGGGTCGGGATATAATTTTTTGGGTTATCGTGATATGCGCAACCATGATCTTTGCTTTCCCTTTTGGATTTTGTTCTTACGGTTTTTAAGCCGTCGTGTTCTGATTGGGTGATGATGCAGAGAATATAGAACGGGGAAGAAGTTTGAGAGGAAACAACAATGACGACTAGGAATATAGAGAAGATGGCGTCGATTGACGCTCAGCTGAGGCTTCTGGTTCCTTCAAAAGTCAGTGAGGATGACAAGCTGGTGGAGTATGATGCTTTGCTTTTGGATCGATTTCTTGATATTCTTCAGGATTTGCACGGAGAGGATCTCAGGGAAACTGTACGTATCTGCTTGATCACTCTTGAATCCTTATTTTCAATTAAAAAAAATCCTAACTCTGCATAATGATTACTTTTAAGGAACCCAGATCACAAGTTTGTTAAGGTACAATTTTGTTTTATTATCAGTTGAATTGTTTGGTTAGTCTTCCTTGAGGTCTCCACAAGTAGTACATACATATAGTTCTGATCTGTTGTGTATACTTATGGTACATACTT